CCGGCTCGGCCCGGTGACCGCGCCTCTCCCCACAGTGGTGGCGGCCAACGACCTCAAGTGGCAGACTTCGGGCATCTTCCGGCCGTTCATCGAGGTCAACATCATCGGGCCCCAGCTCAGCGACAAGAAGCGCAAGTTCGCCACCAAGTCCAAGAACAACAGCTGGGCGCCCAAGTACAACGAGAGCGTGCAGTTGTGAGTCCGGGGACGGGCAGGTCGCGGGGCGGCCTCCAGCGGCCCAAGGCCCGGGCAGCGCGGCCACACGTGGCGCCTCTGAGGAGGAGACACAACTGCGCAGGCGTAGCCAGCGTGCGTGGGGGGCGTGGCCGGGGCAGAGCTAGGTTGCTGGGCGTGGCCGGGACAGCTCGGAAGGGTGGTGGGCGTGGTCGCGTGAAAGCTCAGGAGGGAGTGGCATGAGCGTGGTGGGCGTGTCCGAGAGCGGAAGGGGGCGTGGTCTAGGAGCTCAGGAGGGAGTGGCGGACGAAGGCGGTGCGACCGGAGTGTGGACTCCTGGGGGCTGGGCAGGAGGCAAAAGTGGGGTGGGCGTGGTCAGAGGGCAGGGGCGGGGCCTCCCTCACGCCGCGCCCTCCTCCCCGCAGCACGCTCAGCGCCGACGCGGGCCCCGAGTGCTACGAGCTGCAGGTGTGCGTCAAGGACTACTGCTTTGCGCGCGAGGACCGCACGGTGGGGCTGGCCGTGCTGCAGCTGCGCGAGCTGGCCCAGCGCGGGAGCGCCGCGTGCTGGCTGCCGCTCGGCCGCCGCATCCACATGGACGACACGGGCCTCACCGTGCTGCGCATCCTCTCGCAGCGCAGCAACGACGAGGTGGCCAAGGAGTTCGTCAAGCTCAAGTCGGACACGCGCTCTGCCGAGGAGGGCGGGGCCGCACCTGCGCCTTAGCGCGGGGCGGGCGGGGACGGCGCTGCGCCCGAGCGGCACGAGTGCTGCGGCCGCGGGCGGGGCTTGGGCTCTGGCCCCGCCCTCGCCCCGGAAGTCTCCCGGGCGGGGCGAAGAGGGCGGCTGCGCCTGCGCTTTCGACTTGGCCTCCGGGGACCTTGTGACCCCGCCCTCTCCTGAGGTCACGTGCTGGCGCGGAAGAACGAGGCCCCGCCCCCTCTGGCCCCGCCCCGCCCCCGGGGCCCGGAGCTGGGACGGAGTAAGACCCGCCCCGGGAAGGAGGCCGCGTCCCGGGGCTCCGGTACCGGGGGCTTCGCCTCCTGGCGTCGGAAAAGCCATAGCGGGTCCCAGAGCCCTGGGGCCCAAGACCATTGCCAAGCACGCACCGCGCTCCGCGGTTCCCGGAGCGCTGCGGAGCGGGGCGAGGCCCGCGTCGCGGGGGCTTCGCCGGGCGGGCGGGATTCAAAAGCACACGCGCCCTCG